TACTGTTGAATTATAAATGTACGTGTATGTCTATTGTGACGTCAAGCGTCGCCTTCCACCTCACTATCCTTGTCCCAGGACACGTGATTGTGCCACGTGCAACAATATGAAACATGATATTAGATGAATATTTCTTTTATGACAATTCTGATAGGAATCATGTGTAGGTGCGATCGTTACCTGTGCTGCAAAATTCAGGGGTCGATTTGTTAAGTGTTCTTGGAGATGGATGGGGAAAAGTGCTATGATGTAGTGAATGAATATTTTTATTTTTGGCTTCATATTTATTGTAGTGCCTCCTGACATTTATGACAAAATTATTATTTATATTGTATTTCAATGGTTGTATTCAGGAAATTGAGATCTAGCAGATGTTATGAAAGATATTTTAAAGTATTCACTCCGAGCAATTTATTTTATATTTTTCCTAAAAAATTTAATTTTAAAACTTAGCTCTTAATAGCATATTTTAAACGTAAATATGTATTCAAATGAAAGGCTATATATTTTTAATACTTTATTAAAAGTAGGTTAGAGCGAGGCTTGAAGATCCACGGGTAAAAAGGCCCACCACATTATCTCAAAAACAAGTGAATTGTGCCATTTTTTAACGATACTATTTTAAAATATATGGAAAAAGATATAAACAGTTAACAGCTTTAAATCAAGCGTCATCACTATTGGGTACTAAACAGCTACATTGTCAATTTTCTACAGATTCTACTGTTTTTAGGGTAAAAAGGCTCACGTAAATCTTTACACTGTCAAGTGTAAACCATGAAAGAAAAGTAAATAAAAATAATAAATTAATAGTTATTCTAACTTTGACAAAAATTCTTCTGAATAATTTTTGTAAAAATTGTATATAAAAAATAATGAGTCTGATTATGATTACTTAAACAGAAAAATCTACCAAAGCAATGTATATTGTAGTAGTAACTTTTGATATTTTTTATTATTTTCAAAAATGCATATTTAAATTAATAATTTTTAATTTTATTGTTCATCTTAATAAAAAAACTACATCGCACTGATTAAATAATTATGCTATTGTTTCATAAAAAAATTTAAATTAAAAATAAAATAGTGTATCTTCTTAACCGCTGGCTGTTTTTTTTAGCCCGCCTCTGGGGCAAAACGGACCAGGCGACAAAATTTAAACAAAACAGCACAAAAACGTGAATGTTAGACGTGTTCCAGTTAATGATGAATTAACTGGAAATTTTACTGATCGTAGTTAGATAGATGTTTGTATGATATGTTATTTATTTTAATGTAATTGGTTTGATCTTAACGTGTTAAAAATCAAATTGTACATTTGCGCGCTTTAATAATTATATTTATAACTCATATCTCAGTTTAATAGTTTCAGTTAAATTTCTCTGATTCGCCTAATTAAGATTATTTTAGTTGTATTCCATAAATAATGGCCATTTGTAAAGCAAATTTTTAATTATAATATCGAGTGTTGTTAATTTAAAATCTGTTAAACGTATTGATGAATTTATGTTTAGTATCGTTATCTTATGCCGTTTAAAGTTATATTGCGAAGTTTCTAATTGATTCGGATTAAAGATTACACCGGTCCACGAAATAAAAAAAGACAGTATTGGGCATGCGGCATATGTTTTCCAAAGTAGTTTTTACCGCTTATCACGAATCTAAAATTAAAATAGGGGGTCAAAATTTTAGGAAAATTAAAAAAAAATGACAAAATCTTCGATCTTGTGATTCTTCTGCATAATAATCAATATCTTGTAATTTCTCTTGTTTCCTGACACTTTTTACCTTAAATTATCCTTGAGTTCCAAATGAGTGATCTATTGAGTTTTTTTTTTCAGCAGTAATATGCAAGCATATTTCCTTCCCATTGCCCCTGGGTAATCTGCAACCATGTTTGCAATCTGCAACCAACAACGTTTGCAATATCTGGCAAAATACTTCTACAGAAAAAATCTTAAGTAGTCATTTAAGGTAGAAAAGATCTGGAAACGATGAAAATTATAAGATTTTAAGTATCATGCAGAGGGATTACTAGATCGAAGATTTTGTCATTTTTTTAAGTTCTTTTCAATATTTGCCTACCATTTGCCATTTGCCTACCAATTTTGACTTTAGATTCGTGTTCAGCGGTAAACACTATACCGGAAAACATATGCAACACACTCGATACAGACCATTGTTATTTTTCTTGATATTTATTGCCAGTAACTCATCATATAGTGTAACTGTAGACTGTCGCCCTAGTAATGATCGTATTCATTAGACCGTCACCGGCGATCGGCGATCGTCCTCGTCTTGCCGCTGCCGGTGTTGCTTGCAATTGCGACAAGCGCCGTTCTTATTCTTCGCTCTCGAGCGAGTCTTGAAGTTCTATTTTAAGACGTACGTGCTCGACGCCATGTGCAGATGCGCTTCCGGCAAGGTTGCCGGGCTGTAAACGTTTATGTTACTCCAGACGATCGATTTGTTTTTCATTGCTCTTGTGTAATTAGGAATTTTGAAACTGTGTACTTTGTGCACATTATATTTTAAATATTTATATCAAATTTTATTGTAATAATTTTATTTTATTAAAAAAATTCTAGGCAGTAGAGGAGACTTGGTAAGTTTGTACCAGGTTACGGTAGTGTCAGTCGTCATACCATGGGAGGGAAAGGGTCCAAGGGGAAAAAGATGTAGTATGTTTGTTTGAACAAGTTCACATTGTTGCTTTCAGTCGGCGCCCTACATTAACATGATCTGTAGACCGCATTGCTTTTAAAGAGTCAAAGAAAGTTTCTTTGTAAAATTCTTTTACTGACTGTTTGGTGTATACAAATAGATATCTTTGTTTGTTATTTTTCTGCAAGTTGACCATTAGTAGATAATTACCAGCAATTATTTTTGGTGCATAAGGTTTAGTTCAGTAATAACGATGATCTGGGTACAGATGTGACATGTGGTTGTGGTCTTATCCTTCTCGGGGAAGATTAAACAGGTAAAGCAAAATCTAACTTAACTCAGACAAAATACGGAAGAGAAAGGTGAAAAAAATTTAATACGAGAAAAAGAAATCACAGATATTTTCTGTTAACTTTGTTTAGAAAGTTATGTTCTGATATATATTGTTTTAATATAATCATAAGCTTTGTTCTTTGAATGATTATGTTGTGTTGTGAAATATATTATTGTTATTAACATTTGTTATTAACTATTTTGGCGTGTAAAATTATTTTTTTAACCTATGTTTATGTCTGTCACAACCGTCCTGGGGGTGTGGACGGTTATGACACTTGTCCTTTTCTTATATGATTTTATTACTGGTTTTTAATGGACAGTATTTCAGTATTTCCATGTAGACAAATGATTAATTTGCCATTCATTTTACTTCTCTCTCAGCTAACTGGCAAATGAACAAAATTATTACTGATCAAAAAAGTGACACTACCGTACCCAGTCTCTTCTACTGGTATTTTGTATATAAAATCAATTATATAAAAGAAAAATGAGAGTTTCAATATCCGAGAAGTAGGGTTATATCAAATGCAAGATTATCATTCAATAACAGATTTCGTAACGGCGCATAAAAAATACCTTTATTTACGCCTATATATAATTATATAAATGCGCAAAAATGTAATAAAAAGGAACAGCATTAAAATTATATAAATGACGAATTAGTATTCATTTACTTACTTTTCACAATTCTTTTTATCGAGGTTTATTTTCTCATACAAGTGCATACTACTGAAATCAAGCTTGGTATGAAAACATTACAGATATTTCAACGCATGTATTCAGAGTCTCTGGTTTATAAAGTCTTGAGTGTAGAACAGCTTGATGGTATGCTGAAATTTAAAAAAAGAGAAATAACTATCCAAATAAGGCATACCTAAATTTTAAGATTTATTCTCATATAGATGTGTTCTATTTGATGTTATTTACACTTTACATCTAAAACTATGTCAATGTTATTACTGTAATATGAAAATTTAGATGCTAAAAGGTATCACAGGTATTATTTCTCCAGCTAGTCTGTCAGATATGTGTTCTACCGAAGAATAATCATTAATTTAGTTTAAAAGATTTATCTTATTAATGTTTTGATATCCTTGCTAGTTTATTTCATTTTATACAATTATCTGCAAAGGTCATATAAATGTTATAAAATCAGTTTGGCTTAAGTCAAAAGTATTATAATTTATGGTGATACATATTTTTGTAATGCATATTTTATAAACTACTCCGTACTTATAACCTTTACGACTTCAGCGAGCTTAAAATTAAACTCTTTTATATTTACAATTTTTAAGACTTTAACGAGCTGTCGAAAGAAAATGTAACTATTCGCTAAGCTGTTTTAATACGAAGTATTACATCTTGAGTGAATTTGCTCTCATGTTGTTTTGCTTAAAAGATAAAAGCACATGTTTTTAGTCAGTTGAATCTGTTTCTATCCCTTTTTACATAATTAATTGTAAAAAGTACATGCGTAGGCGTCACACCTGGTTTGCTTTTATGGTAATGTGACATTTAACAAGTGTTGGTGGATTACATTTCGTGAGTAAATAGCTTTTTTCTTTTGACTACATAATTATTGTTTCTAAGTTAGTTTTAGTGCACACTAAATCATTAAACTTTTGAAATTGGACTTTCTTGTAGAAAGTTTTTCTGTCATGTTCTAATCATATGGAATTGTGAAGTATCATTTGCATATGCTTTTTCACATTATTGTCTCTTGAAATGAGTCAAAATTACTTCCTGTTCCTAAATAATTAATTTATGCATTAATCACAGAGATTTGATACATATTTGTTGAAAATACTAAACTCTACTGCTGGAATGAAATTTATAAACGTAATTTCAAATATAGTGCTAATAGGGCTTCTTGTAGTATTAATAAGGCTTATAATAAGATTTTGCAAAACAGATTATAACCAGTTTATTGAAATATAAGAGTTTATTATAATTAGCAAAATTAGTTGTATTTCATCTATTAACGTTTTTTTTATTTTCAGGTGATCTTTAAAATATAAACCAAGCTCAGTATCGTAAGTACCTATTTATTTTACACAAAAAGTACTCGATAGCAGATAATAAATGTTTTAAATATAACAATATCAATGTGGAGTGTTGTCTAATAAAATTTTGTTTAGATTTCGATACCTATGTAAGATAGGCACGAACAAACTCCGGGTTATTCCGGTGGAGACGCCAGCTCCGTTGAGACTCGTGTAACTTTACTCAATTTGTTTATAAATTGTAATAGGTTTTATAAACAACTATTAATTTTATTAACAACCATATAAACTATATGATTGTTTTACAATAATTTCGTGTGCGCAAATATGTATTTTTAATTTGATCAAAACAAACTATTGAGCTGTTCATTACAAACCAATTATCATTCTCTGCACGAAATCTTAACTTACTGCTTACTGTTAATATTCTTTAAAAATAATTGAAAAAAAAAACTATCAGAATGATATTATCCGTATTTTATCATTTTACATCTAGACTTTTTGTAATAGCAATGCATTATGTAATTGAATCGCATGTCTTAAAAAATAATATCAATCGTGCGATGTTGGATATTATGTGTATTTTTAATTAATTTCTATCTATTTATAATGTTTGTATATCCGAAAAGATAAATTCAAACGCCGTTTGCGATATGAAATTATTGCCTCCTCTATAATTGTTTTAAACGTGATCAAAATGATTCTATCGCTGATTTGGGAATTTTATAGTTTGATGATAGAACTATAAAAAAATCAGTATGCGAACTGCTAGATCATCTATCACGGTTAGATAGCGTGCCTTCCGATCGTAAGCTGGAAGCGAAGCGGTTACCAATGCGCGCGGTTGCAGTGTTCATAGGCGTTTTCTGAGCTTCGAAGTCGCCTGTAATTTATAGGTACGCATCGTTAAGCTTCTCACGCACTAAATGCGGCTTCTATGATTCTAAAAGCTAAGTTATCAATTTTGTTTAATTACATATTTAATTAATTGAAATTGTATTTATTGTTGACATCAATTTATAATAAAGAGTTGATAATGAGATAATATGAAGAGGTGATAAATAACATGAAAATGTTTCAAGAATAGTTATGTTAATTCCTTAAGGTAAGTTCGAATGCTTCAAATTAGATGGCTTTACGTATAGAAATATTTTACTGTACTACATGTAGGGCAACACGGGCCTGAAGGTTGAATTTGAATTTGAGAAAATATATTGTGAAAACCAAATCAATTCTACCACAAAAAATAACACATATCAAACAAACAACTTTTTGACTATGATCAGTGAAACTCCCAGATCATTCATTATTGTAGAAATACGATTATTTTGCTGTTTTCCGAAAATGTGTAACCTGGTCCTTTTTACATCACAGCACTAGTAAATTGGAACGGCCAGGCGTCAAACAGGTCCCAATGTCTTACTTTAATTTTAAAGGAATTTTAAAGATTAATAGCTATATTATTTAACTAATGCAAAATATATATTTAATGGATGCATTTTTTACTTTATAACGCTGTAAAAAACCTTGATATGTTTTGTGTTTTTTACATCTTTGCCAGGGTTAATTGGTTAGCTGTTTTTCCCCACCCGTTGTAAGCTTTTGCAGAGGTTATATAAAAGAAACTGTTAAATTTAACGTAAATTAACAATATGTCTTATAAAACAATTAAATAAGGTATACTTACAAATTATATCTAGTGCTTTTTACTAAAGGACCAATTATATTATATGGTATCGTAAACTATACTTGTATAGTTTCCTCTCACAACCAAAAAACTAACAATGAAAGAAAATATGTTTGTTATGGATTTCCAATGATTGCCATGTGTTCCCGATAGCAACGTGGCAAGAATCCAGGTGATAGATGGTTATACATCTTTTTCCCTCTACTTTCAAATATTGTTGTTGAAAAATTCTTAACTGGTTTTTTAGATATTAGTTGCCAACTTTTATACCCGCGAACCTTTAAGACCCGCTATATAATATATTATATTTGAATTGTGTGAAAAATTTATTTTTTAATAATAATATATTACACATATGGGTGATGTGCAACTTATTTTATTGTACGTTTTACTAGTTTTGGCCAGTATTTTTGATAACCTAATTGCATTTTCTTATTGAATGTGAAATTGAACCTACTACTTGTTGACCACCCTAATATGTAAGTTATTGGTCACTGGATTAATTAACAAGAAGCCATTGATATATCGTTCGAAAATAACTCCATTCAATTCCACAACCGTCGTAATTGCATCTCAATTAGTTCTGGTATAAGATCAAACCACTGACGGCGTTTGTATTATAATAGAATTATTATATTGTCAATTTATACATACCCTACAGTTCGTTGGCTGTCAAAGACAATAGCTATGTAGGTTCAAGGGAACCCCGAAACGTAGAGATCTACACCTATGCAATTTGATGTCAAGTGCATTTCTGCATAACGAGACACACGGTGCGTTATTGAAATTACGCTCGTCTTGACGCGTATGATGTTTGTTGGAACACTAGCGTTGAACCTGCCTTCATTCGCTAGCGATAGAGATAGTTCTACTACTAATTTCATAGATTTAAAAATTAGGTAGAAATAATAAGACATATATACGCTGTAACTACAGTAATCTGTGTACCACCTTTTTATTAAATTCGCACTTTCTTCTCAAATTTTATTTGATTCTATTGAAACGCTAAAAATTGAATTTTTATCAAATAGTAATTGCTATTAAAAAAAAAGAAAAAACGAAAGAATGAATAATCCTTCTTTTACGTACCACATCACACACAACACTCCTCGATTCTTACGATGGTCGCTGTCAGGTGATGAAAAGCATTGTCTGAAAATTCATAACAAAAGTATTTTTTTGGTTGTTAGTTTTTATTTTGTTTTGAGCACTATTGTTTACTTTACGAGACTTTAGTATAACCTTTAGGTATAAGTTATTTTAAATGTTTTATAAGATGTATTGCTATTTTTAATTTAGATTCAACCGTTTCTTTATATAACCTTTATACTAGCTCACATATGGGTGGGATAAAGAGGATCAACTGAACCTTTGTATTGAAAAGGTGTAAACAATAAAAAATAGTAAATAAAAAAGGAATTTAAGTTAACAAAAACAATTTTACAAGAAACAAGTTACATAAATTGTTGATCTAACTATGGTGATGATTATTTTTGACGAAATGCCAGATCGAGGATCTGTTATATACAATATTATCTCTGTAAAAATGTATCCATTGTATATGTACTTTGCTTTTGTTTAATAATGTTGTTATTATTTCGTAAAATTCTTGTAAAATTAAAAATAAGACATTGGATCTGTTTGCCCCTGGCTGTTCCATTTTACCCCGCGAATTTCCGAAAAACAACAAAACAACACATATCGAAAATGATGTATTAGCTGGGAGTTTTACTGAACATGGTTGCTTTGATATGTGTTATTTGTTGTGATATAATTGGTTTGTGATATAAGTCGCGCTACCCAATTTGTTTGTGTGTAATAAGTATTGTGACTGTAAGTAAATAAATTACATATTAATACGTTTTTTTGAATTTGTTTATCTTTATTGTATTATTTTAATTCGACTTTTGATAATTTCAAGAATAAAGGGTTTACATAGCAAAAGACCTGCGCTCATTAACCACTTGTTTGGTAATCGTTCATTACCATTGAATTTCTTTATCTGACTTCTTAGATGGTTTTGGAAAACCATTTGTTTTACTGGATATATTAATACAGTTGAAAGTAGCCACAATTTAGATAAAATAAAATCCTGTTGAATATACGTATCTATAAAGACAATATCTAGCGTGTACATTTGTTATGTGTGCCTATGTTTTGGTCTCGGCCGTGTGTTTCAGCGCGGGAGAGTTTTGTCGCTGCTGGAGTGACTCAGGACGCGTGGCGGCTCGCGCTCCCGCAAAGTCAGGCGCTGTATGCGTCCGAGCCTGACGCGCGCTGATACTTACAATTAGTGCCGTGTAATTGCATACACCTTTAGAGGGATACAACTCTCTTATAGTAGATAAATCTCTGTATATAGGAAAATCAGGGTTAGATAGATAGACATTTCTTTATTTTTTATAATTTAAGTACATGCTTTAGAAAGTATTATTGTATGCTTATTATTGGCGGTTTGCTTAGTATTTAAGTACAATCTAGGAGTTGCAAATGGCATGAGAAATGCACAATATTTTATTTTAACCTCCACTGTACTCCGATTTACTATAGTATACTCGTATATACCTTACTATAAATAAAATTTAATTTACAATTGGTCGAAAGGGCCGCCTGTAGTGAAAAAAAATTAAAAAAACTAATGTTAAACGTATTAATATCTATAACTATGCTATTACATTCCATTACGCGGAACACTGCTTTCTTTTATTTAAGTATGCTTAACGATAGTATTAATATTAAAACTATTAATTTGATCATTGTATTATAACATTCTTTTTGATCATTGTATTATAACATTTAATTTCATTATATCCATTCACCTATTGCATGCTTAATTAGTATTTTCTAACATTCTGTAAATTGCTTCATTCTGTCTAAAACGCTTTTTTCATTCAATTTCAACATTTATTATGAATATTTTGATATTAATATTTAACGAACAAAATTTACTAGATGCTTAAGATTAAAGTCACTGTACGCTTCGGTTTGGCCGGGACAGTCCTGGATTTCCAACTTGCGTTCCGTTTTTTTTTTAAAGCAATATTAGTTTTTGAAAACTTTAAACGCAGTTACCTGATAATGAACTTACAACTACCCATAAAATATCTGAAAATTATGTACACATAATGAAAATATACGTAATGAATGAGCAAGTAATTTGCCGAATGCAAAATTCCGAAGTCGGGTTATAATAGCCTCTCACATTAATAATTTTGAATTTTCTTTTTCAATTGTACGAAAATAATTCAGAAACACGTAGAGTTTATTTATTATGAAGTTAGAATAATAATAAAGTCATAAAAAAATCATGCACTTAGATCTAAAAGTGCTTGAATTAATCGAC